GCCTTTCGGCTGCATCCTCTCCCCCTCACCGGCTGCTTTCCCCTCCCGTCCCGCACCTCTCACCCTTCCCCAGCTTTCCTCATCCCCTTTCTGTCCCTCCCATTTGCCCTCGGGACCCGTCGAGCTGCCAAACCCAGCCTCTGGGCCCCTTCGGAGCCGCAAAACCTTCCCCTGCGACCCGGGGAGTGTCGTTAGGACACCCGCCGCCTCTTTCACCTTGTACTTTACACCCGTGCTGGGCGTCCCTGTGGGAGGTGGGAGGGAGGTGTTGCTGGGAAAGCTAATGTTTTTGTCTTGTTTGCTTTTTTTTTTTTCTTCTTGTCATCTTTGAAATAAGTTGGTTTTGAGAAGGATGATGTTTTTTCTGTTTGTAGAACTTATACACAACACAGCGTTTCTTCTTTGAATGCAGGTGATTCACCAAATGACCAAAAAAGCCCTGAAGAGGGGTCTGGGAAGAGAAAAGAGAAAAAGTCCGAAGCCTTGAACATCAGAGGTACAGCATGGGAGTATACTGCTAATATTATATTCACTTTAAACACTTTCTGGTTTCCATTTCAGATTTTGGGGTTTTTTTTTTATGTGTGTATTTGTTTGTTGTTTTTTTTTTCTTTTTTTTTTTTTTTCCCAAGTGTCAGTAAGAAATGGAGCAAAAGCCCAGGTATTTGGACCCAGTTATCTTTAGCAGAAAGCTTTTAGTTGTGTGAAATAGTGCAGAGAATAACAAAACAGTCTGATGCTGATTTGGCTGCGAGCGTGTTTACATTTGGATTTTGATTCTTTAGAAGATCACAGCTGAAGTTTTTGGAAAGAAGGCAGAGCCTCTTGCACTGAGCTCGAGTCACTAGCAGCCTTATAGGAAGGTGAAGTAGGGAGCTACGAGGCCCTGCTTTGAGTGTCACTGCTGTAGTAGTTGAGTGGTTTTCAACTTTCCAGTGCCTTTGGGCAGAAAACAGGATTTCTTTAAATGCCGAGGTTGATAACGTTTTGTTGTCAGCATGAGGAGAAAGGTGCTGAAACTGGAGCTTCAGCACAGTGTTTTTCCAGGTCCTTGAACTGTGAACCTGTCCCTGAGAGAGCCTGGGCCAGGCTCAGCCCCTTTATGTTGTAATTCAGCAGGTCTCTGGGGATCCATGGAGTGAAACCATGTGGCTACTTCTAGGAATAAGTTAGACAAGTGTCCCACCCCCTGTGGATATTATGGCATTATAGTGGTAAGATTATTGGAATAGGAAAAGCAAGCTGTCACTTTCGGGGATAGAGGAGAGAAGGATAAGAAACTGATGAGTATATTTTAGACAACGCCTTACTTGCCTGAATGACAGTGCTTAGGCATAATGATGCTGGAAACTTTCAAAAGTGTCCAAAGGATAAGGAGTTTTGTATCAGTTATTTTAAGATACCTGTCACTTCTGATTTTTAAAAAGACCCTCTTTCTCTAAGTACTACTTTAACTTCAGTATGTCATCTTTGCAAAATATATTTTTGTTGTCCTTATAAATATTCCTTGCTTCTCTAGCCAGTGTTACAGATACGTGTCTTTGAAGTTCTTGTTCAAAATCTCTTTTTTTTTCTTTCCTGCTGTAAGTTAGTTACACAGCTATACTTACCTCATAATCACTTGGCAAAAAATTCTGTACACTATAGAATTGGAGCCTCCCTGAAAAACATGGCTGGACAAAAATGGATTGGCAGAGGAATTGGTTCTTTGATTTTAAAAGTGGTAGGAACAGGAATCCAGAAGATCTGCCCAACTGGGATAGTTACTGTAGTGTAAAACGATTCATTTCACTTCTTGAGCATATGTAGTTCAGACTTTCCAACACAAGCTGTTGGAAAGTATGGTCTTACTGTACTGACTTTACTAAAAATTAATTTTTGTTTCTATTTTATAACAATAACTTTTGGGTGTCTATAGGGAAACAGGTTCATTTCTGTCTAGGCCCTCACTATGTGCTGTGCAACCAAGATGTACATATTAATGATGTTAATAATGTAAAATAAGTATTTGCTATATTGTGTATTCTCAATTCATAATTTATGATAGTTCGGACATGCTTAGGGCTTTTTTGGGTTGGTTTTTTTTTTTTAATTTTTATTTTTATTTTTTTTTTTTTATTCAAAAGAAGTCTTTCTGAAACATTTTCCTGTTCTTTTCAAGCTATGCTCTCCGGTTAGTTGCCTTGGCAATTGCATCCTGCCTGTCCCTCTTGTTAGTGCAGGAGCTGATAGCCCGTGCTGAATCGGGAGCATTTGTAAAGGGAAAGGAAACACTGCAACACTGTTAGGAGGAGTAGAGCCCTGTGGGAGTCTGCCAAATGGGGCAGAACACACCTGACTCCAGCAGAAAGACCTGGACTCACTGGAAGCTTGTGCTTTATCTGCCCAAGTGATTCAGAGGAAGGCCAGCGGTTATTGCCTTCATTTCTCACATAGAAGATCAATGTTCATGCACAGGGCTGGCAAGGAACAACAGCACAGGCATGGCTCTAGGTGTAATCCGGTGTCCAGCATCACCAAAGAGTCAAAACTCTTCGCTGTGTTGTTACTGAGTTTCGGAGGGAGCCTTTTGTAGCTTCTCCAGCCCGGAGGAAGTGATTAAATTGGAGTGAAGCTCTTAAAAGTGCTTGTCATGGGGATGTTAAAAAGAGACGGTCTGTTTTATTCTCTCACAGGCTCAGAATAAAAAGTATTGACAAAGAAATCAACTTAATGTATTTAGAGATGTTATGAGTTAGGCATGGGTTGGAAAGAAATCTGAGCCTGAACAATAAAGACTGACAAAACTGGAGTGCATTTGAGCAATGGGAAGAGGGAAGATTATGTGAAGTAGTAAAAAAAAAAAAAAGTTGTTATTAGATTATTGTAACTTTATAGCAGGAAGACTACTTTGGTCACTATAGTTGAAAAGGAAGCTAAAAATGTGTTATTACAAGAGCCTGTTTTGTGTCTTTACCTTTTGTGCAAAAACATATTTATAGATGTAAAAAGTGGCACCCAGTGTTCCCCTCCATTTAGAGCAGTCCAGGCACATATTAAACCATGGTGTCCATGTGACTGGCTCTCAAACCAGTTTCTGATTTTTTGGGGGGTCTGAGGGCTAGTGGTGTTAGTGGAACAAGGTTTAGTATGACTAGTAATCAAGCTTGATCCAAAAATTGGAGTTTGAGGGCATTTGGAGCCATAGGAATGGGTTCAGGATTCACTTAGGTCATTTTTGAGATTTCATCAGTGTCATAGAAGCTGATGGAGGAGAACAGCTGCTAGTGGGAGTGGTCTGTGGCTCACTCAGCTTCCAATATAGAACGGGTAGATTTAGTCATCGATTTTTAATTGAGAATTGCGATTTAATGTGCCAGGATCTCTTAATAATCTGCAGGCATTTAAGCAAACACATTTTACGTTGCCATGGCATTGCGGTTGGACGGCAGTTGCTGGCATACCCTATGTGTTTAATAATGCATCCCACTTAAGCATCTGTGGTTTAGAGTCAGTATTTCTCTTGCTGTTTTGTTCTGACAGCTGTTATTGAAAACTTTGGTTATGAGGTTAGTGCTTGGAATATTGCGTTTTTCATGTCAAGTATAACAGACTTGAAAAATGCAGCTTTACTCCCCCTACTCCCTAAAAAAAAAAACCCAAACCAACAAACCCCAAACCCTCCACTAACAGAAATTGTGCTATTTGTTTCAGGTGTTCTTTTGCATGTTATGGGAGATGCACTTGGATCTGTGGTTGTGGTAGTTGCTGCTACAATCTTCCATGTACTTCCTCTGGAGAATGCTCCGTGTAATTGGGAGTGCTACATTGATCCAAGCCTGACAGTAATTATGGTGTTCATCATCTTGTCTTCTGCATTCCCGCTTATCAAGGAGACCTCAATTATTTTGTTGCAGATGGTTCCCAAAAATGTTAATATGGAACAACTGAGTAAGTCAAGTTTGTTGTTGAAATGCTATTAATTTTGATGATATATCTCAATGCATATGTTATTTCTGGAATGACATGTTTGGATTATTTACTCATAATAGCTCTAAATTCTCAAGAACTGTGAGAAATAGTCACATGCCTGTGTCCTAGCAACATGACTCAAATCTCTCTGGATTAGTGAAAGCATGCATTTTGGGAATGCGGTACTCCAACAATACATCAAAAATACCAGGTCTTGAGCTGTTAATGCTTTGTGTGGGGTGTTTGTGAAAGAAACAACATTGCATTACAATATTTCCCAACCCTTCTTCTGAAAGCCTTCCAAAACAACTTAGAACTTTCCTTTAAGGTTGGTTCATTTTGTCGCTCTCTGGCATTGTTCGAACTGGTTAATTGTGGGGTAGCACTCGTTATTTCTGGAATTCCACCATGCTTAGGGCTGAAGAAACCAGAAGATGTGGGGTCTTGGCCGAGGAAGTGGTGCTCTAACGTTGCTTCTATGAATGGCCGTTAAATTGCCATTAGGGACCTCATGAGGGATGGGTGAACCCAAAAGGAAGGGTGGCCTGCTCCTGCGGTCATCTGCAAGCTGAACAGAAAGCAGCTGGGAGTAGACATAGTATAGTACAGCTCTTTTAAAAAGATAGTTCAGACACCGCTGCTTTTGGGTAGGGCTTCTTAATGAGACTGCTGGTAATTAGCCAATACACCAAAGCCTCTAATGTCTTTCTCTTCTGTCTTCCAGCTGACAGACTAGCTCATGTCCCAGGGGTTAGCAGCATTCATGAGGTGCACGTTTGGGAGCTGGCAGGTGGGAAGAATATTGCTACTCTTCATATCAAGTGCCAAACCCCTGCTGATTACCCGGATGCTGCTTATAAAATACGGAAGATTTTCCATGAAGCAGGGGTCCATTCTGTGACCATCCAGCCCGAGTACATTGACCACAAGACCTCCCAGCTCCTCTGCAGCTCACCCTGCATCTCACAAGCTTGTGACTCTCAGCTGTGCTGCAGTCAGCGGGAGCCCCCCCCGGCTCAAACTAATGGCTATACTGAAAAAAACAACAGCTGCCTTTCTGCGCTGCATAAAGACAATGGTTCCTGTAAAAATGATATTGAAATCCCTATCGAGTACCCACTGGCAGAGGATGGCGTTAAAAATGTGAAAAATAGTGGTGTGTCTGATGGCAAATCGAAGTTGAGTTTAGGCAGTACACGGCTTTAGGCAGTTCCATCCACTCTGCGTCATGTTTTCGTAGAGCAAATGTATCCTGGCTGGGAAGGGGGTCACCGGTGGTTGTAGCTGAAGTTGGTGTGGCAAAAAGATTTTTGTGCTTTAGCTGTAAACCAAAATACACCTAGCCCCCCTTTGTATCTGAAATAAGGATTAATATTTCCGTGAGGGGTATTCCATTCATCTGAGATTTTTCTGATACAGCCTAACCCAGTTCCTTACCAAACCACGTGTGAATTTCTGTTGTTGAGAGTGGATGGGGTGTATTGCTGTCTGCACTGATGTTTGCAGTTAGTGGCCAGTGGCACTGGGAATGAAGCTGGCCTTTTCTGCTCAAGTGAGCTGCTTCCTGAAAGCCCTGTGGCCAGTTAACAATCGTACTGGGCTGAAGTACTGTGTGTTTATAAAGGACTTCAGTAGAGATGCTTTACTGATCTTTAAACCTCCTTTTTTGCCTAGACAGTTCATGTTTAACAGTAACGCTCATGCTTCTGGCCAGTGGGGTTTGGGAATGAAGTTAAGAGTGTCTAAGGGGGAAGGGAAGCACTCAGGAATTTTGACTCACATTGTTTTCTTGATTGACTCCTGTATTTAGGGACAGAGCAGAAGCTGGTCTTGCTTCTCTACTAGTAATACTGGAGTCTTAGCCTAATCACAGATAAGCGTGCTAAAGAATAGACTTGTCATGAAAGCAAAGGAATAGCATTGTTTGTACTGATTCTAGCAAATGGAAATGCAGGGAGTCATCCAATTAACTTTTATCTGGTTCGCTGTTGTGATTGTACAGCTCAGTCTCTTTTATTTTATTTTATTTTTTCTCCTGACAACAGAAGTTATAATAGCCACGGTCTTAATTCATCATTGTGCGGGATGATTGGAGTATCTTTAACACTGAGTGTCTGTCATTGTTCATGCTGAATAAATAAGCTGATGTGTTTATTATGAACAGTTAAAATTCTGCAGTTCTATTATTAAAACAAAATTTAATATTGTATTAATTAAGAAAGTCCCTTTAGAGTCCCTTTATATGCAGTGTTATCACTTAGAGGGAGCTTAAAAAAAATTACAGGGATTTTTTTCCTGTTTTATTCTCAATTATTTCTTGCTGATTTGTTTTAAAGTTCTAAGCCCTCCCCTCTGCCCTGCCCCTCCTCCCCTTGCACAAAGGTGTGTTTCTGAGTGTATTTAGTGAAGGAGTTCCTTTATCTTTTTGCTGCTTGCCTTTTTTTTAAGGTATGCAAGGGTGCTCAAAGGAAAACAAGATGACGTGCCCTGTCACCAGTGCTGGATTTAGGTCAAGTTTGTTCTCCTGGTTTCTGGGAGAGGAGACCCACTGCCTAATCCCAGCTGAGTGTACTGCTTAGCCTCTCTGGCTGTGCAGATCAGATCCAGAATCTTTCAAACACATTTTGCTGCCAAAAGCAGACTTTCAATAGTCTGTGTGGCCTGGGCAGGCTATTTTATTTATTTATTCATGGGGACACCTGTATAAAATAGTTGTGTCTTTACCCCATTTACGCCTTATTCGGAAAGGCAAATTGGTTTCCTGCCTGGGCTGGGAAAATACCAGGACCTCCTTGTAAGGCCAGCTTGAAAGCAGTCAGCTCCTTATTAATAAGGACAATTACAATAAGTCAAGGAATATTAAAACACACAGCAGGATATTTTGCTGCTTGGAAAATTATATTTACTGAAGCAGTCATTGCAGTCTCAATAGCACATTTCTAGATTTGTAGTTACCCCTTTTGAACAGATTCTTGGGTGAATTAATATATCTTATTGCCTTCCTTTGTATGTTTGTATTATATAAATTAAACTATGTGTTAGTATAATTAAAAGTTTGATCCTCCAGTCTGTCTGATTCTCTTGGCAGCAACAGAGGTGAAAACAGCAGGATTTTGCTTGGCATTGTTGCACGAAATAATGTAAATCAGGAAACATTTTAAGAACTGCTCTGTCTTGTAAAAGTGTGTGGCATAAAGTAAGACAGCCCTTTCTTCTATTCTTTTTGTCCTTATTTTAATCTATGATGATGTTTAATTGTTGGGGTTTAGATGTAAATATCAAATATATTTATAGGTTTTTTGAGAACTGGAACACAAGGCTCCCAAAATAACAACAAAGTCTTTGGGATAAGTTGCCTCCCAGATATCCTCTAAAATATGCACCCTTTTGTGATTATGCATTTGTGTCTTAAATCAGGTAATCTTTTTATATATACATTTTATTAAATTGTTGAAAGGTGGAATTGGCACTATTGTTTGCTCTGGCATTAGAGAAAACTAGTATGTGTAACATTGGGGCATTAGTGACCATCTTTTTCTTTATCCTTCCAGTGTTTGTAAAAACTGTGATTATCTATTTTTTTAAAGTTTTTTAAGGTGTTGAACCTGAAAATACAATGATGTAACATGCTTAAAGTTGTACTTTTTCTTGTCTGGTTGAATGTGCTGTAATTGTTGCCTGTGAATAAATAGGAAAATAGCAGAGGTCATAGAAATCTTCAGGTCTAGAGAACAAGCAGATTTAAAATTTGCTTTATTCCTTAAGCAACCAAAACCAAGAGGGCTATATTACTGATGAAGTGAACCTTGCATTTGCTGTGTAGGGCCTTTCAGGGTATCCAGCTAAGTCTTCTGACCCAGTATCCTTTCCTTCCTTTGGGTCCCAGAACAACATATTTTTCTCCTCTGCTGTAAGTGTGGCACAACTATGGGTGGAAGACTTCATTCCAATCAGTGTGTATTTTATATTGGCTTATTTCCCTTCAGTTCTTTGCATATCTTTTCTATTTCTCTTGAATTATACTTACCTCATTTTGAAATAGCAGTATGTTTCAGTATTTGCCCTTATGTATGGGCATTTGTTCTAAATTCAGTTTTGTAGTGTAATGCCCTGTCAAAAAATCTCTTTTCTGGCCTCTGTAGCTAAATTGCTAAATTGGATTCAGTTTCTCTTGCAGTGGTTGTTCCTATCTGTCCATTGGCATCTGTAGCAAAGGAAATCTGCTTAAAACACAAGTGACTTTCAATCAGTTTTCCAGCTTATGTGGCCCTCTGATCCATAACCAGTCATACACAGGACCTAGGTGTGTGACAGCAAAACATTTGCTAGTTTTGGCAGATAATTTATTCCAGATTTCATTCTAAAATTAAGATGGCATTGAATATAAAAGCAACGTACTGGCCTTCATCAGTTGTGGATCTTTTCTTAAAGTGAATCCAATTTTTTGTCACCTTTTCATATGTTCCAAATGTGCCAATTTTATTGTTATTTTTTTCTTTCTCCTGTAACTCTCTACGTAAAGAGAAATAACTGATGCTGTTTTTAGGAATATTGCCTTTGTTTTACCAAGTTTTTGGTTGACTTCCTTTTTCTTGTGTTCTTTGAGATACTTATTTTGACTTGTAGTGCAACTGTGTTTTTTCTTCTTAATGTTTTCTAATTCTTTCTCTCAGTGTGAAAGCAGTGTGGTTTTGCTAGCCTTCTGGTCATGGTGATGTACCTATAATACACTTTAGAAATAACTCCTTGATGCACTAGTTTTAAGTTTTGCGTTTCATTGTGTTCAAATTCACCTGCTTTCTTGTTTTGCTATGTGATATACTTTACCATTGCAAACCCCTTTTTGACCTTGCTTAGTTCTTCCTATTCTTTCCCCCTCCCCTACCTGATTATAACTTAGCTTACCATCCTGAATGCTCCCTTTTATTCTGAACTTTGAAGCGAATATGCCAGCATCCATATTTTTCCAAAGTGAAGTTCACCACCCAAAGTCTGTGGATGGCTTGATGTGAGCTACTCCAAGGACTCTTTTTAAGTCCCTTGATCTGTGTGGAAGTGTTGTCTAGGGTAGTCATCCAGAGATATAAATATATATATACTTATATATTTAAATTCTTTATAAACACTCCACCTGAACCAACTTCTTAAAGAAAGTTGGTTTCTAAACATGAGAAGCTGTAATGAAATAAGTAGAGTTCATTAGTCATTCATTAACACCTTAGGGGAAAGATTGGATCACTAATTGGAAAGTAGGGAAAAGGGACGTTTCTGAAAAGATAATCTAAAAGCTATGAAGATTTCTACAGGTTCTACTACTTACTCTGCTGTACAGTGGAAGCACTTTCTATGTTAAATACTTTATTTGAAAAGTGACACCTTGATATGAGGATGTCACTGTATAAGATTGTTACATTTATGGAGTTGTGTTGCTTAAAAGTTTCCTCCAGTTTTTCTGTCCATTATGCGATTAAAATAATGTGCCAAAATGTAATTTCCATGATGGCTTAATCAATGGGTTGTAAATTTCATGGTGGATTTCTTAACTATTAGTAAAAAATTACTTAAATTTTTATGTACAGTTATATTTTTTTTTCAAAATTAAGTTTGAATGTCTTGTAAATAAAGTGTATTTTTAAATAAGCCAGTTGTTCTGAATTTGATGTATGTTAGCAATAGGAAGCTTGTGTCAGTTTGGATAATTTTAAGACCCTTGTATGAATAGAGTTTGTTCTTAACCTGTGAGCTTGTTAATGCTGCAAATTTTGTTACGTATTTGGAAGAAAAGGGGGCAGACACTCAAAGGCTTTTCCTCTGCAAACAGCCTAGCATTTCCTAACCTGGGAGTGAATTTAGAGCCTGTAACATCGGGGCACCAAACAAAGATCTTGGCTGGAACTGGATGGGCTCTTTGCAGAATGCGGGTGCAGTGTTGCTGCCTGGCTCTGCTTGGTTATGCTCTGCTTGTTCGGTGTTTAGCTGCTACTCAACAACTCTTCTGCCTTCTCCTTCTTCAGATACACACCTCTGCATGTGTGAGGATGTTGCTGTGTGGAGAAGGTTGACTGTATGTGTAATGATAGGCTTGGGAGAGCTTTGAGAGTCTCGCTTTTGGGTTTCATAACCTGAATGTGCATGTTAGAAATTATATTACTAACATGACAACCTCAGGTGCTGTTTTTGGAGCAGAAGTCAAGGAGGTGCCCTCG